ATTCACTGGGTGACAGAATCAAGTTTCAAAAATGTCTGTTATTTAGGATGATGGGTTGACATTTGTTAAGGAGAAAGATAAAGTCCTGCATTTAATTAGGAAAAAAATTGTGATGGTTGGAGCTGAACTGAGAGCAGCTGCAAATAATAACAAAAAGTTTCAGGTTTTAATTGACCATAAGCGTAATGCAGCTACTGAAAAGTCAACACAATCTCTGCTGGCATTTGGGGAGACAGAAAGAGATGGGCTCCTAAGTGATGAAAGTAACATATCTATCCTGTTTCTAGCAGTCGTGAGTGTTGAGTTCAATTTTGGAAACCCCATTTTAACAAAGATATTGACAAGTTTGTTTCGTGGATGGAAGAGTCTGAATAGTGAAATAGCAGGGAACCATACACTGTGAAACAATGGCATGGCTTGTGTATAAAACAGAAGAAGATCACACTTGTAATCTCCATGGAGCACTTAATATAGATATTAATTACTTAATTCTTAGAGCAATGTGATAAATCATTTGCGATCATCACTGATATGGAACCTGACAACCCAAAGCTAGCCCACTGGGATTCAATCTGAGGTGGTTTGACTCCAGACTCTATTCTTTTAGCTATGATATTACATTATTTCTATGAATACTTGCCACAGGTTTATAGAATTTCTATGTGATGAAACTTAGATTTACTCTGTAGAATGTAGTTATCAACAGATGGGCTGACTAAGGTTTATGTCAAAGTAGAGGATTTTTCCAGACACTAGGAAGATGACAGTACATTTTTTGTTTTGGGTTACAAAGTTAGGCTAGATAAACTCAAAAGCAGCACACAATTGTAAGATTATACGATATGATTTGTGATAATGGTATTATAATGAATAAGAGTCTTAAAAAGTCAATCACATTAGGTAGTAACAATTTAAATGGCATTCTCTTGAGCATATATTCATAAACTGCCCCATCCCATATTTTATATTGCTAAGATATCCTCAACTTGTGTTCTTGGTGAGCTTTCCTTTATGGATACCAAGCTCTGCCAATGTTACATAAGTTCTTGTTTCCCCGTCTTTTTGATATACTTAGAATACTATCAACATTATTTCACAATTAGACCTCCATCCAGGGACATTATATTGTAGAAATAACAAATGTCTTTTTAAAGCTTTTATACTTGGGGACTTCTAATAGTTGCTTATATTGAAATCAATTTTGAAACTAGTTTCAGCATGCAGAGAGGGTTAAATCTCTGCCAGACACCAGCTATAATAACTGGAACACTTAATTTTTTCAGTCTTAATTATTGCACTTAAAAAACAAGAATAACAATCTTACCTCTGTAGAAATATTGTGATAAGTGCAAGAATGCGTGCAAAAGCTCATGCTGTGCTATGCTGTACTGTACTACCCTATCCTCAATGAAAATTCAAGTTTTTAATGAAATGTGTTGGCTAGAACACTTGTATATAATAAAGTTTGCCTGACCCAGTTTCTTGGAGTAACCTCTCAACCTTTTGAATTTCTTATATGATTGTAGTGTTTTTGTTATTTTGGGTGGGTCTCTAAGACTCACCCCCCCACATTAATTTACATTAATGAGATGTCTTAGAATGAGACATGGTCAGCCAGGAATCAATCAGCTGATTGGAGATGTTAGCAGCTCAACTTCTGGGAAGGAGAGGGAGGCTGGAGATGGAGTTCAACCACACAAGCAGTGAAGCAATCAATTGTGCCTAGGTAATAAAACCTCAATAAAAACTCTGGAAAATATCCAGGCATGGCGAGCAACACATGCCTGTAATCTCAGCATTGTGGAGATGGAGGCAGGAGGATTGCAAGTTATAGTCTTACCTCAGCAATGTAGTGAAACTCTGTTTCAAAATAAAAAAAAATGAAAAGGTGCTGGGGATGTAGTTCAGCGCGAAGGTCCTGAGTTCCATCTACAGTACCAAACCAACCAACCAGTCAGCCACCCAACCAAACACCAAAAACACTGGACACTGAAGCTCAGTGTGCTTTCTAGGTTGACGATATTCTTCTTATTGTCACACATCAATGTGCAAAGATGGCACTGTGTCCCTAGACAGGAAACTAGCTTCAGCTTTGGAGCCCTCCCAGTCCTCTCTCTATGGTTCATTGTAGTGTATATTACTTTGCCAATAATCACAGGTGTTGGGCTTTCCTGAACTCTGTAAATTATACTAACAAGTTATCAAACCCAAGGGAATCTATCACAAAACTCACATTTCTACTCAGCTATTGGGTCAAGTAAGGATAGTTTTGGAGAGAACTTAACCTATAAACTTTGGCCTAACTCTGCCTAAGCCGCTTAAGCGTGCGTCTAAAAATTTGGATTTATTTAAAATAGGTAAGCTGGTGGCAATATATTTTTATTCTTTTTTTTATTAGTACATGCTTGGAGGACATAATATTTACATTGCTTATGTGGAATTCGCACATGTACATATTACAACTCAATTCCTTTTTCATGCTGCCCCATCTCTTCATCCCTTTCCCATTTGAGAAAGATCTAGCTTGCTATTATCTGTACTTTATTTTGCTCTTTATTTATAATATGGGTTTCTCATATAAGAGAAACCGTGCAATACTTAATCTTGTGTGTCTGATTTATTCCACTTAAAGTTATGGTCTCAAGGTGCATCCCTTTTCTTACAAATGGAAAGTTTATCTTTTTAATGGCAGAGTAGTATTCCACCATATATAAATACCATATTTTGTGTATCCATAGATTTGTTGTTAGACATATAGGCCACTTCCAAGATTTAGCTACCATGAATTTTGCTGCTATAAACATGGAAATGCATGTACAATTCTTATGTGTCAAATGTGATTTGATTGTAGATATTTTTTGAGGAAAAATTTCAGAAACATCTTCACTGAGTAACAGAAAGAAGAGAAACATTCAATATCTGAAAGGTTTTAGATACAGATATAGGTGAGACATCTTTTCCAAGTTCTTTTACAAAATCTAATGCCAGTGCTTTATCTTCTGTTTATATAACAAAGGATCTGACATCCAGAGGTCAATGACTGGGTGCAATTTACACAATTATGGCAGTATGGATTTGAATTATTTGAGAACTACAATTATATCTCTAATGGATCTGTGCAGTGCAGGATTTGGTACATGGTAAATACTCAATACATCTTTTGCTTTGCTTTCTCCAATAACTAAGATTATGGGGGCTTCTCTTTGTCATCCACCCATCAAGATGGCTACCTTTCTTCCCTGGAACTTTATTACCATATTCATCACTCTTAGTTATTATTTTTTGTTTCCTTGCAATTGTGGAAATTATGGAAGAGGTTGGGAGCGTTTATTTCGCCTACAAGAGTATCTCTTTTCCACAGTATGGTACATGAAAGAGGAGGAATCCCTGATAAACTTTCTTTTGAGTAGAGACTTCATGTTAAAAGACGTTTCTCATTCATAAAAATTGTTTTCTTTATCATTTGAAAGCAGGTAATTTTCTTTTTTTCGTGGTACAGGGATTTGAATCCAGGGCCTTCTTACTATTTGGCCCTTTTTTATTTTGAAACAGAGTCTTGCTAATTTGCCTAGGCGGACCTTGTACCTGTGATCTTCATGCTTCAGCTTCCTAAGAAGGTGGGATTACAGGTGTGTGGTATTAAGCCTGGCAAATTAAATGTGTTTGCTAGAAGAGAACACAAACCAACGCTGTCTGTACAGTATTTTGTGTACACACTATCAGTATTTTTGAAAGGAGAGAAGAATAGGTTTGTATTCGGGGGTGCATATTGCTTGTATCAATTTGCCTTGCACAAATAATAAAAATTAAAGGTTTAACTTAATCATCCAACATGCTTTTTTGCTACTTTCCCCTAGTTCTGTCATTTATCATCCCATCATTTTGTGGATGTGTGGGGAAATAGATTTTCCTCCAAACCTTTACGCAAAAGTGGGTTTCTGTTTGGGTTATATATTTTCCCTCTTGCGTATGGCTTTTGAATCTTAAATGTTAACAGTCAGGCCACAGACATGACAGGCAACGAGCAGGTGAAGAACCGATGGAAAAGTGTTCAAAAACTCCTGTGTTAGTTAACAGGCTTCTGAATGTATCGCTGTGGTCCACGGAGAAGGCTGCAGAAGGTAGCAAGGAGATGCTGTATCAGCTACTACAGCCTTAAAACAAAGTTGGTGTCTCTTTGGACTTTAACATTGTTCCTATGCACCTTATTTTATTTTTGTTTAATCAAAGAAACAAGAGGGTTTTTCCATGGGAAAAAAAATAAGTTTGTAATATTTTCTATGGAACAAGTAAATGTAAATTAAAATGAAATCAAAGCTATAGTGACATTTTAGAACAAATTATACCATTGTATGGATTTAAAATACAGCCCAGGGCATTTTGCTGTGACTGCTAACCATTACTGTCATCCTCTCTGAGTTTTTTCAGGCACACATGTAAATTAAGAGTAGTACTTTATTATCTGTATCAAAAATTTAAAAAATTTTTTTCTTCATCCAAAATCTCTACTGGGAAAATGTTCCAAGATCATTTGTTGTTCAACTCGTGAGCTCTCTTTGGTAGTGCAGACAAGATTTCCAACAATTCCTGAAGAAAACGGACCATACCGGTACTTTGCTCTCCTACTTGAGACCAGGTATAAACATTTCTATAGACGCTCTGTTCTAGCTGTGAAAAACTATTAAATATGACCTCATAAAAGACCTAATACAAATATGATATGACTGGTTTGTTTTAAAGCACAGTAAAGAAAGACAGCAGACAGGGTCTCATGAGAAGTGACATTCTGTAATTACCTCCCCCTATCAAAAGAAAAACAATTCCCAGAAATTAATGAATACAGCAAGAGTCTATTTCCTATCTAAATTCTATCTTAATTGCAAAAGTGGATCAATTAACAAAAAAGACTACACTGGCAAAGCCTCTCTCTTAAGGTTTTGTCTCCCACTTCCCTAGTCATGTAATCAATGCATATAAGCATATTATGAGCCTATTTTTACCTTCTGAGATGAGATAAACCAACTTCACCAGCAGTGCCCCTGTATAACAACCAAATCCATTGAACAGTGTCAGAAAATTCATAGACGTTCCTCTGATGGTGCGTGGAGCAAAACTGTATGCTATTACAGAGGCTGTGAGAAAAATAGAAGGCCAGAATTTAGAAGATTCTCCCCAAAACAATTTCACAGGTAGTATTCAAATTAATATTGATTATGCATCAAAAAAAATTTACTTATATAAACAATACTTGGGCTGGACTTTGTTGAGGTTACTATAGTAAGATATGGTACATTTTACAGATGACTTCAGAGAATAAAATATGACAAAATATACCTTTATACACTCTGAAGAGAATTTGATTACTTGGCAGTTGAGTGTTCTAATATATTCAGCCAAATTTACTCTAATTTGAATATTACTGAAAAATTTCAGTTTGAGGTGCGGTCTGTACTAGATAATATCACGACAATCTATCAGTGAGATCTATGATTCTGTGATTCTATGTAAATTATTAGGTTCCTTACAAGAAAGTTACATTTATCATATAAAATTCATATAGCAGTTAAGAGCGTGGGCTCCAGAGTTAAACAAGAATATAGTCAAATCTCAGGTAAGTCATTTACTGTCTTTGTGATTTTAGGCAAGGTACTGAAACATTTCAAACCTCACTGAAATGGGATTAATATTACACACTTGCTGATATTCTGTGACAATTACCTGCTATAAATACATGGAATGTTTTGTACACAATGCTGAGTGGTAGGTATTGAAGGAAGGTTTTTGTTTGTTTATTTGTTTTGGGGGGCAATAGGGATCAAATCCAGGGCTTTCATGCTGAGTGACATCCCAACCCCTTTTTATATTTATTTAGAGATAGTGTCACACTAAGTCATTAAGTTGCCCAGGTTGGAAGTTGAGCTTTTGTTCATCCTGCCTCAGCCTCCTAGAATACTGGGATTTACAGGTGTGTGCCAACATACCTGGCACATTAACTATTTTAACAATATTAATCTTACCAAATCAAATAATTCCTACTTGTGCAAAGCCCTGTGCAAGGTCCTTACTGCATTAACATGTTTGAGAGAGTGCTTACACAGAAATAATAGCTTAAGCACTGGTTCTCTGAATTGGTTCTGCTTTTTTCAAGCTGTCATTAGAATAATAGTAATGATAGTGGCCACAGTTTGAAAAGAAATCAAAATCATGGGAGAAATTTCATTAAAAAGTTCACTAAAATTAATTTTGTTTCTGAAATCAGAAACAGATGACAGTAGCATATATGATTGTGTACATACCATATTACAAAACTATGGTAAAATATACATGACAATCTTAGGGATACTAATTAGAATATTTGTTATACTATGATATATGGCAATTGCTTCAACAATTTATAGCAGGGAGGGAGAGGTACATAAAAAGAGAGTAGAGAAGAAACAAATTTGGGTATGTATTTTTTTTTTCTTTTTTTGGTACCAGGAATTGAACTTAGGACCTTGCACTTGCCAGGCAGGCGCTTATGCCACTGAACTATATCACCAGGCCCTTGGGCATGTATTGAAAATTGTTGAAACTGTAAGACAGATACTATGAGAGTTTATTTTTAAATAACCTCTGTTATATGTACTCAATAAAAAATATTAAATAGCACTAACAGTCTAAGCTCTGAGTGGTTGAATTATTGTCTTTCCAACTTTCCTACTGTTTTGTGCTTTGCAAATTTTTGTACAATAGCACCATGTACAGTAAAGCTCATTTTAAAAAAGAAAAGATAATAGACAACAAATATAAACGCTAACCCTTTCTATTCCTTATATATATGAAGAAATAAATCTTATTATCTTCTTTTCCTTTTAGCAATATTTCACCCCTGGTTTACTTATACTTTAGCATAAGGAAAAGTCTGCATTTGCTCAGCGTTTTTAGATGAACTTACTAATATAAAAAGCACATGTATGAATGTTCTTTCTCAAATTCATGTGGCATTTCTGTTTCACTTTCTGTGTGTCCTTCATATGTTTTTATTTATTCACCCAGTAAACATTTAAGGGAGTCCCTAGCTATGCTCTAGGAAAGTTGCCCTGTGCTGGACTGAGGATTCCTAAAGGCATAAGTTTATCTTTCTGAGATTTTAAACTCTGGAAGGACAGAGGGCAGAGGTTGTGTGTTACACAGGGCGGTGCTAAACAGGTAGTCAGTTCCATCGCTCTAACTGGAGAGGAGGACAGTCAGGATAATGACAGTAAATAAAATAATGGAAAGGACTTCAAATTTTGGTGGCCAAATGCCACAGGCTTTTTGTGTAGTACTAGTCGCCAGCAGGAGTCCAAGGTCAAGCCCCCGGGCACTTTAAGAAGGCCTCAAGGAGGGTCCAAGCGTAACACGGAAGAGGCTGTGTGAAGCATTGATTCACAGTTATAAAGGGATTTGGCTCATGAACGTCCCTCTCCATAAATACTAAGAGACAAACAATGGGCAGAAAGAGTAAGTAGGCCTATTTCTTTTTCTGAGAAACAGCAGAATGTACAAGCCCATTATTACTCTGCTAGTTAATTATTAATCTTATGCTTTTCTCTTGCTAGAACTTCTGGTGCAGTGTATAATTCATGAACCCACTTTGCCAGCTCTCTGCCTGCTGGTTCATCTCTCTTTGGTGTCATTTTAGTCGTTTTTGAAAGCCCCAGCTCCCTTTTATAGGATTTCGCTTTTCAAGTCCTCAAATTCCCATTTTTCAGACATCTTCTTGTATGTTCTCATCTTTTCCAACTTTAGTGATCATCATCTTGATGTTTTATGCTCCAAGATACATCCTGTAGCCCATTAGAGTATAGATATTATCAATGTCAGTCACTATACTGAAATTTCCATTGTCTTATAATGACACAATAAAAATGCTCAAAGTGTTTGGGAAAGCTGGTCTTCTTGCCAATGAGAACTCAAAGTAGTGGCTGGTTATTGTTTGCAAGGATGCCACCTCACAGCATATATGGAACCTGTGAAGTCCAGGGTCGTAAGGCATCTGGTCCTGGGGACTCATTGCAGGAATTCTTTTTCATTCCTGTTGTTCTTAAACAATTAAAAAAAGATTATTGTGTTTGGTGGAAAGTTATTTTCATATGTGGAGGAGAAGCACCACAACCTCAGAAAATGGAACTTCATTTACCCCGTTGTCACTTTTAGACCATTATTCTTTCCTTAGTGTCTCATGTTATCGTGCGATTACATTATCCCATTTGCCTTTCTTTGGTGCTGTTATCTAACAATTGAGCCTATTTTCCTCTGTTGGCAGATCCTTTCCTGTCATATTCACTAGTACAGCTCCTACGTTAATTCTTGGTGGATTTTCAGATATGCGCTGATCATTTTTCTAAATTTCCACCCTTCTAAATCTGAGCGTCTCTGCTTCTTGACCTCCACTGTCCTCATATTCCTTTCTGCTTTAGCTTCTGCTCCATGCACATCCATGATCACAGACTATGCCTTGTGCCCAAGACCAGAGGTGGCCAACCATGGCCAAGAAATGGCTGGCCACCGCGCATTTTCACAAAACTTTGTTGGAACACAGCCACTCCTATTAATGGCTGCCTTTCCATCCCAATGACAATGTTGATTTGTTCTTACTATGTATATGTTGTTTTATTCTTACTCATAGTTAAAATATTATAGGAGAAATTTATAAGTAAGTAAAAAGCCTGTTTACTGTCTGAGACCTTATAAAAAGCTTGTGAACCCCTTCTCTTTACCAGTAACTATCACTATTCCATAATGCCAGCTTCTTAGGGCCCCTTCTGACTACCATGATGTAGCTATCAAAGCGACTCTTTAACTCAGCCTTCCTTAAAATCTTCAATGACAGAAAATTTTGTCTGTTTCCTGTGTGTGTGTGTGTGTGTGTGTGTGTGTGTGTGAGACTGGAGACTGGATCAAGGGCTTTTGCATTCAGCTATATGCCTTATCCTTTAAAAACATTTTTATTTTGAAACAGTATCTTACTAAGTCACTCAGACCCAGCTTGAACTTGTTATCTTTTTGCCCCAGACTCCCAAAGTTCTGGGATTAAGGGTGTGCGCCACCTTGACTAGCTTCTTCTTTTACTTTTTTATGTATTTGAGGCTCGCATAGCAATGTGTGGCACATTTAGACGCACACACAGTATTTTCTGAAAAAATAAACACAGGGTATGAAACAGCTGAAGTATGTACTACAAGGCATATATAAACAAAGCATAAGGCTTGAAAAGTTTTCTGCTTTTGTTTTCCTTTCCTCTCCTTTGCAAGGCACAACATGGCTTGAAGGGTAGGTGGCCCCTGACATTTGTAGAGCGATCTACTGTGTTTTCTTATTCAGTGCCATCAATGTAGGATATTGTCAATAATTTGAAAAAAAATTATAGATAATTTAGCCATGTAGAAATAGCTGTGAATTTCATTTGTTTAAATTAAATCTATTTACTGATAACCTACTCTGTATATGCACTTTTCAGGAAGGAGAAACACAAAGGAATATGGCAGTAAGCATGGAGACAAAAATCTTGACTGCAGGGAGTCTATATTATCTTGTTGAGAGGCAGGCAACATATAAAATTATGACTATGATACAGTACATGTCAGAGAGG